TGTAAAGTGGTTAAGTAAATAATGCTTCTAAAATAATATGGAATGTTTTCATGATATGAAAAAAGAAAAAAGTTTCATCAGAACGAAAGAGGAAGGAAAGCCTTGATAAATTTGAATGTGTTATACATAATTCCTTTTCATCAAAATATAGCATTAAATGAGTATGAAAGGGGAAGCTGTAGATGGGAGATACTTATACAAGTGAAAAAGGGTCAACTCAATACACAGCAGTTGACTCTGAAAAAAAAGTATTCAATGTTTTCTGAAATGCAAATGAGTTAGTCATCAAATGACCAATAAATGTATAGAAAACTGCTCAATTTTATTAGTAAATAGGGAAATGAAAATTAAAACTTAGATAGCATTACAAAGACCCCAATTTCAAGTGTTTAAATATATGGAAGAGCAGGTAATCCAATGCACTACTAGAGGGAATATATGGACAGTCTCTGATTTATGATGGCTTAATTAAGATTTTTTTACTTTACAAAAGCATCAAAGAGATGTGATTCAGTAGAAACCTTACACCAAATTTTAATTTTGATCTTTTTCTGGGCTAGTCATGTGCAGTACAATACCCACTCCTGATGCTGGGCAACAAAAACTCCCAGGTAGTCACACAATTATGAGGGCACACAACCAAAACACTCATAACCATTCAGTACCCATACAACCATTCTTTTTATAACTTTCAGTACAGTATTCAATAAATCACATGGTATATTTGACATTCTGTTATAAAACGGGCCTTGCGTTAGATGATTCTGCCCAACTGTAGGCTAATATAAGTGTTCTAAGAACATTTATGATACGTGAGGCTAAGGTCAGGGTATTAAATGTATTTTTGACTTACAGTTTCAGTTTATGATGGGTATATCATAATATAACCCTATCACATGTCAAGAGGATCTGGATATCTGTACAAACACTCTGGAATTAATGTGTGGCATTATATACTGTTTGGCATATATGTTTGAATATATACATAACCTATCAGACAGAAATTCAACTCCTTGATATATATCCAAATAAAATGTATGTGCTTTGGCACCAGGAAAAATGTAGCATCATCATTCCCAGCACTTACACACAGACACAAAATTTTGACGACAGAATGGATAAACTGTGGTATATCTATTTAACTGACATAATACTGAAAAAACCTTAAAACTACATCTACACTTAATCTGTAACAATGTCACAAGTATGTTTAGGAAAAGAGGTCAGACGCAAAGAACACACACTGCTTGATTTTAACTTACATATCTATTTCAAACACAGGTAGAGATAAATTACATTATTCTATATAATATAAAGTTATAACAATAGTCACCAATGGGGAGTAGGGATCATAATTTTGGGGAAGAAATGTGATGGGAGTTTGTGCTATTTATTTCCCTGTGTGTTCACTTTGTAATAATTACTGTGCTTTACACTTATGTCTGTACCTTTTGTGGGTATGTGTTATATTTCAATTTCTTTAAAATTATAATAAAAATAAAAGGAGAAAATACATGACAAAAAGGTTAGCTGTGCCGGTTCAATATATCACGAGTAGTATTAAGGGAAAGAGAGAACAAAAAGATGAGAATTAGCTCAGGAGTAGAAGATCATAAGCAAATCAGAGAGCTACGCAGCTATCACACAGAAAATGTTCATGCAGCATCAAGCAGGACTCATTTTTTAAAAAGGTAGGGGGACCTAGTAACATTCTTTGGAAATTTCTGAAAACAGGCCTCCTACAAAGCAAAGAATTAGACCTCCCCAAGACTTCCCACTGATGACTCCCAATGTTATAAAACAAGAAGTGATGATATTAAAGTTTTCAGAAAAAAATGATATTCAATCTAATTCAGATCAGCATCCAGCTAGTTTGCAAATGAAATCATTATGTATCATACAGACATGATGTAATCAAATTCTATCACTAAGCTCAATCTTGAAAAGACATACTTCAGAAAAATGATGATGAAAAACAGGGAGATGAATGAAATTTGAGAACTTTTCTCAAGATGAAAAGATGAAAGGAAGAGAAAGGAGAAAAGAAAACAGAGAGGTAGAGGAAGGAAGGCGAGAGGGAAGGAAAGGAGGAAGGAAAGAGGGAAGAATCCTGCAGGTATGAGAGATATTCTGCAGTCCTTGTAATAAAAGACTCCAGATGAGAATTCTCTGTTAGTGGAATTTGAGAATGTGCTCAAAATCTTCATCCCATGTATAAACCGAATAAGGAAGCTAGCATTTGTTGTGACACTGAAAGAAAGCATTTTCTTGCTTTTCCAAACACATAAAAGGAAATTATAAGCTCTAAAACAAAACTTACACACTGTGTAACAAAGCCAAGCAACTATTTTGAAGCACATTGAAACAGAGCAAAACAAAAACACTGCCATATTATGAACAGTCTGTTTTCAGTGGCACAACAGTTCTGACATTGGATATGTAAAAACAACTGCAATAATAATAGCAACTCTCATTTATGGAAAACTACTAACCAGGCACTACTATTCTATGATCTTTTCATGTTGTGAATCACTTGATTCTCAATATAGTCCTAGGAAGCAGGTCCTATTTCATATTTTACAGGTAAAGAAACTAAAGAACAGAGTATATGTATTTTTTTCAAAGTTATACTCCTTAGTAAGTGCTGGATCAAGATTTTAATGTAGTGAGGTTGGCTCTAAAAGTTGAGCTTATAATGACTGTTTTTATGTCTTTGGAAAAAGTATTATTCCACAGGCATTTTTTAAAATTAACCAACTTAAGTGAAAACAACTGAGATAAATGATGAAGATTAATGCTAATTTTAAAAGCATGTTAATGGTGATTATTTAGAGGCAGCCCCATTCTTTTTCTCTTATTAGGCTGGCTCTCTCTTTTGCCTCTCCCCCTCATCCTCACCATATAATCCACCCCCGCCTCTGCTACATTATTAACTTAACCTGTTCATAACCTGGTGTATTCATACATATTCCCCCATGCTTTCATGCCAGTGCATTAGGACATATATTGTAATACACAAATACAAATAAATGCCTAGAACCAGCTGTGTTTCGAGTCTCTCATTACTCCCTTGGTTTTGATAAGCTCTTTTTGTCTGAACACACAGGTATATTTTATTTATTCATTGCTTGTATTCTATGCTCATTTTCTTCCTTAAAATATAAATGTATCACACATGAGCTTTTCCTTTTATACTGTTAACATACACTTAAAAAAATTTCTCCCGATTTGTTTGCCAGGTCACTAATTTAGGCCTCAAAAGACAATCCTACCATCTAACTACTGATATATAAGGGGAATATTTCACTGTTATTCAGAATTCAGATTTGTTTTCCTTGGTCAACTATATGCGTGTGTGAGTGTATTGATGTGTGGTGAAGTATCAGAATTTTCTTAACTGTTTTAATTCATTTTTTTCTGTTCAAATTATCAGTCTCTTCCAGCATCTTTACTGTGACTGTCACGTGTTCTATAAGCGCTGAATCTTACAGTCTCCAGAATACTACACACAGTCCCCCAAGTGAAAAGGAATAGCCATCTATCCATCAGTGGACCAGTGATAAGGCTGCAGTGGCAGCCCCTGGCTAAAATATTTAGAACATCAAAGACATCCATGGGGCTGACTTTAAACCTTCCCATGCCAGTCCCCAGAGTTCTGAGAGTCACATTTTTCTCAAGAGCTGCACCCTTTGTGATCTTCAAAAGATTCCCTGACAATGGACTCCAAACATCTTGCTTCACCCACAGCTGAGAAACACATCAATTTTCTTGGGCCAGCCTCCATAGAGGCCAAAGGATTAATTCAGACCCAGTCACCTGAATCTTCCAATAGATTTCAAATCTAAAGAGGCAGAGGTTTAGTGAGAATGAGCTATAGTGTGAGGAGTCTGGCTGTTGCACAAAAACTCCTGCCAGTGTGTGTGGGGCGAGGGGGAGCGGGGGAGCCACACTCCCCACACCTGACTTAAGACACTGGGCAAGGAATCAAAGGCTCTAAAGGGAGTAACAATCAAGGCCCAGTCACCCTGGCCACCCATGTCTTTTTCTTCCCTGCATTCAGTTCCTCCACGTGAAGGCTGCCCTGGCGGAGATGAGCTCAGCTGAGGCCTCACGGGGGCAGGGGCCCTGAAGACACTTTTCTCCACGTAGACTCCGCATGCGATCCTCTCCCTGCTCCAGGGGCTTTGTTTCAGCTTCCCTCAGCAGTGAGACAATCCCCGCGTCTTCTCAGATGCTGACTCCACCCGCTCCTTGTCCCATGCGGGAAAATGGAAGATTTGGAGAAGGGACATTTCCCCCTGTTTAGCCTCATATTTGTGTTTACTGAATTAAGGGCTCCACCGTTACTTTCCTTTTGGCTTCACCATTTCACAGCTCTCTCCAATTCAGCTCAGCTTGAGACATGGCAGTTGCTGCGATCTAGGGCGCAGACCACCCCCAGGACCCCAGGCATTTGCCCTGGCCTTCCAATGGCCTTGGCTTCTAAGTTTTCAGTTGAGTGGCTTCCAGAAATTTCTCACAGCCTCAGGAAGCTGCCACGGCCTGCGTGTACAGCCGCGAACACAGCCGGCGAGCCTGAGGTAACAGAACAAGCTGGGCGGCAAGTCCCGCCTTTTCCCGCAGCCCCTCACCACCAGGATGAACAGCACCTGGGGGCGCCCGGCCGGCTCGTGGTCCTCGAAGGCCAGGCTGAGGCCTGTGATTTCGCTGGAAGTGCCTGGCTCTTCAACCACCCATTCTGCCCAACCCTACGACCTTCCTCCTCCATGTGTGACCCCCAGCCACTTCTCCCAAGACAACAGACTCTTAAAACGAACCTCAGCCCGTTTCCAGATTGGACCTGGGACAAGAGTGGGCTACAGACCTTCACTTGCCCCATGCCGCTGTTTCTTTACCATAATTTCTCTTTAACTTGCACTCTAAAAGAGTAGATGGCAGGAGAGAAAAAGTTAGTAAAAGAGGGGGAAGGAAGAAGGTTAATATTATGTTAATATTCATACCTTATGTAATGGGCATAAAGAGATACCGAAGGAGGCATTTAGGCCGGGGAAGAGCGGCCCGGCAGGCGAACCGCTGAACCGCCTCGGGCTGGAAGCAAGTGAGCACAGGTGCTGGGCATGCGCAGTCGGGCTGCTGACGAAGCTACAGAAGCACCGCCTTCCACAGCTTCCTGGCCAACCGGGTGCTGCTCCTAAATGCCACGCCTTTGAGCTGGGAGGGCCTGCAGGCTGGCCATATTTTAAAAAAGAAGAAAGAAAAAAGAAATCTAAAGCTGATGGCAATTGAACACATTTAAATATGAAACTAGGAATTATATAAAAAATCATTTTCTCAAATATAAAAATACTATTCTGGTTATGTAAGAAAATATGGCAATTTTAAGAAAAATGTGTATGTGTGTGTATGTGTGTGTCTAAGTGGGCGTGCATCCATGCTTGCTCACTCATGTCACTGTAGCCCACCAGACTTCAGTGTGTATAGAATTTTCCAGGCAAGCATCCTGATGTGGGTTGCCATTTCCTTCTCCAGGGGACTTGAAGACCCAGGGAATGAACCTGTGAATCTTGCCTCTTAGGCATTGGCAGGTGCATTCTTTACCACCTGCCAATACTTTACACATATCCTTATATCCAGAAATATGATGCTGGCAATTAAGATAATTCAAACTCAAGTACATAAACAGAAATAGAATGTATATAATATATTAGCTAAGCCTTTATCACCATGGATCGTGACTGCAGCCATGAAATTCTTGCTCCTTGGAAGGAAAGCTATGACAAACCTGAGTAAGTGAAAGTCACTCATTCCGACTCTTTGCGACCCCATGAACTGTATAGTCCATGGAATTCTCCAGGCCAGAATACTGGAGTGGGTAGACCTTCCCTTCTCCAGGAGATCTTCCCAAGCTGGAGATCTCCCCAGGTCTCCTGCATTGCAAGCAAATTCTTTACCAGCTGAGCCACAAAGGAAGCCCAAAAATACTGGAGTGGGTAGCCTATCCTTCTCCAGCCTTCCTGGAAAGCCTATTAAAAAGAAGAGACATTACTTTGCCAACAAAGGTCCATATAGTCAAAGCGATGGTTTTTCCAGTAGTCATGTATGTGTGTGAGAGTTGGACCATAAAGTAAGCTGAGCACCAAAGAATTGATGCTTTTGAACTATGGTGCTGGAGAAGACTCTTGAGAGTCCCTTGGACTGCAAGGAGATCCAACCAGTCAATCCTAAAGGAAATATGGAATATTCAACCCTGAATATTCATTGGAACGACTGATGCTGGAGCTGAAGCTCCAATTGTTTGACCACCTGATGCAAAGACCTGACTCATTGCAAAAGACCCTACTCTTTGAAAAAGACCCTGAAGCTGGGAAAGATTGAGAACAGGAAGAGAAGGAGGTGACAGAGAATGAGATGGTTGGATGACATCACTGACTCAACAGACATTAGTTTGGGCAAATTCCGAGGGACAGTGAAGGACAGGAAAGCCTGGCATGCTGCAGTGGGGTCAGCCTGGCGTGGGGTCACAAAGAGTTGGATACAACTTAGCGACTGAACAGCAATATGATGTTTATGAATATATATCATTTTGCTCTGATTTTTTATATATGAATGTTTACATGCTGAGTAAACAAAAGCATGAATTCATGAGATAAAGTTTCTAGCCCTGGAATGGTGGGAAGCATGTAAAAAAAAAAGTTTCCAGAATATTATTTGATTATAAAAGTGACTAAAGTCAGCTTATATAACCTGACATTAAAGTGAAAGAGATGACTTGAACTATATGTGTTCTATTTTAGTTTTACCTATTATAAAAGAGTTTTATCTATTTTTTCTTAAAAAATAGTTTTATCTATTATAGAAAGTAGTAACAAAAATGTTACCTAGCACTCATATTTCCAGATATGCTAGTATTAAAAATGACTTAGTATTATGGAGATAAACAGAGAACCAGAAATTCACACATTGAGAAAATCATTGTCTACAGAGGGGTAGAAAACGAATTGTGACTCAGAAAGGATATGTGATGCTGCTTCTTTATGCATGTATTCTGTATCATTTGACTGTCACTATCTGTAAGTTTTACATCAATAACAGAAATAATAAAATTGAATTTAATAAATAAAAATAACTCCTGTTGACTATCATGAATTAAATACTCTGCCTTTCTTTTTATCCTAGTAATTTTCACGAAATACATAAAGCAACTCTTTTGCTATGACTTGTTTTGAATTTTATTAGTAGGTGACAATATATACTTCAAAGATATCTATTCTCCAAAACTCATATGAAGAGAAATAATTCACAAGTTAGGTGCAGCCTTCCACAGTGTATGGCTCATCATTACTGCCTTCCATTGCCACTTGGATCAAGAATGTTCCTTATGACTCTATAAAGCAAATAATATGTTATCAGGAAATCACTCCAAATAACAAATCCCTGTTTTGATGACATTTTTTTTTCCACATCGGACTTCAAATTTACCCAGGGATTTAAAGCACTCTGATTTATTTTATATTTGATTTTCTGTATAAAACACAACTTCTTTATATCACCTTTGCTATTCCAGATGATGTTACATGTATAAATGACAGAATGAGGATGCTTGCATGTGGTTATTATAGTTCCCAGTCATTTTAATCTGCATTGAGCTTCTCTTGGACATCGGGCATTGGCCGTTGTGTACTGTTTCTCCAGCAGTGTATTTTTCCTGTTGCTTATATGGGATTTAAAGGAAGGTGAGATAGAATTAGTTAAAATATCTGCCAATGCTTACATATCAGTTGTTCTCCAGTTTAGCTGCATTAGTTTATTACTAGCTCTAGGGAGTTCTTTTGCTTTATTCACTTGGAGGAATGACAAAGTCTTCTGTTAAAGTGTTAGAACTGATAAAAAGAAATGTGGCAAGTGCTGAATCTGAATCTCACTTGCCCTCTACAGCATCTCATTTCTATAAAGTAAATCCTAACTTAAAGGGCTCATAAATAAATGTATATAACAAATCTATATATGTAAATCATGTATAATAGATATGTCTTATTTATATATAATTTATATGTTCACTAATTTACTTGTATATAAATACTTTCTATCTACCTAAATGTAAAATACATACCAGCAGTTACAGAGATTTGAAATGACACTGGAGGAACAGTCTAAATAATGTACTTGGTACAAGAAAATGGATTGGTTATTCTGCTTAAAAATTCAATAACACACTTAAATAGTGCCATTTTTTATCAACAAACATCATATCTATCCTTGAAGGCACAGTGTTAAACTGAGAGTGCTATCTAAATAGGATCAAGCATATATTTTTCCAAAAATAAAACATTTACTTATAGTGAGGAGTTTCAGTAGAACAACAGGAAATAACTAGATATGGAAACTTAACTTAGTCTGAATCCAAGTTATTATTACATGACCTTGGACAGTTCATGTACTCTCAGAAATTAACTTTTCCCATCTGTAAAATGGAGGTGAGATTTTCACAGGGTTTCTGCAGCTATCATAGGAGATAAAGTATATGAAAGTTCTTTGTAAATTTGCTCAAAAGTGTTAGCTAATTTAATTTAATTAGCTAGAGGTCATATTCCAATGTATTTGACATCTACATTCTTTTTCATTCTCATTTAGAGTTAGGAAAAGACATTCACTAATCATAAGGTTATTATTAAAATTTGTTTATAATTCAAAGGAAGCAAATGTTAATCAGACAAATTAAAAACGCTAAAAATTAGAAGTAGGAACACTTTCCTTCGGGATAAGTAGGCATGGCATATGGGAATTTTGCGTTAGGTGATTGTAGTAATAATGATAGATAATTAAATTCATGTGTTCAAGTGGCCTCATTTCTATCCGATTCTATGTGTTTGCATGAATACAGAAAAATAAGCATTTTAAGATAATATTATTTTCCTGGTTATGTTATAATTTATTATCATAAATTATGTTTGTCAAAGTCTGATAAGAATACAATATAAACCCAAGTTGTATTTCATTATTATTACATAAATTCAGAAAAGTAAAAAAAAAATAATATATCATCACCTTCCTACAAAAAAACCCAAGTATATACATAAAGTCTCTTGTGAAATATCTTTGTAAGGAAATATGTTGCTCAAAAACACATTCCTAAATTGATTATTCCATATATTTTTATATAAATAAAATTGTCACAAATAGGCCAATTTAAGAAATTACTTAAAAGTATATTCACCCACTGGAACTAAAAAAATAAAAGCCATTTTTCCAAAAGCTTTTTTTTTTTTTGCCACTGAGTTTATTCAAAATAACAAATCAGACAACAATGAAATAAATTTATTCAACATTGTTTACAGTACTCTTTAACTTCACATAATTATTAAGATTGTAGCTAAAAAAAGTGCTAACCATCATCTGAGCCTTCAGTGAGTTGTAGTAGGAACACCAGAGGTCCCTGAATACAAATCACCTTTACAAATATAATAATAATGAAAAAGTTTGAAATATGGCAAGAATTACCAAAATGTGACACAAAGACTCAAAGTGAGCAAGGACTTTTGGGAAAAACTGGCATCAATTTATTTGCTTGATGCAAGGTTGCCACAAACCTTCAATTTAGAGAATAATGCAGTATTTCTAAAGTGCAGTAAAATGAGGTATGCCTATACATAATAGAAACCACATTTTATCACTCTCTAAAGGTAATATTCATTCTTTCTTATGGCTACAGTGTATCCTTCTGCATTATATACAGGATTTAATCACTGGATTCCTTGTTGAAAGATCCTCAGTTTTTTTCAGTCATTTGTTTTTAAGAAGAGTATCAAAATGATTACAAGTCATTTTATATTTTTGCCAATGTATCTTGGTAGTGGATTCCTAGAAGTGGAATCAAGGGGGATTTGCACTGTGTAAAGTTTACTAATGTTGCCAACTATTCCTCCATTTATGTAATGCCTTTTTTCCCCCAACCTCATCAGCAGTGTATGAAACTATAAATTTCTTCACAGCTTTATTAACAAAATATTTTGTCATGCTTTTGGAATTTTACCAAAATGATGAAATAAAACATTTATTCATCTGTCTCTTACTATAAGTGAGAAAGTAATTTTTC